GTAGGAGAGGGGGGGGGGGGGGGAAGAGGAAGTGAGGAGGAGCTGGTCTCCACAACACCAGGCAGCGTTGGGCGGGAAAAGAACCCCCAACATGCTGGTTCGGACACCGCGGCAGAGTGCTTCGGGTGTCAACAGGACGGCAGTTCATTTAACTGTTTCCTTTTACCCACGAATGTAGACTCACTGGGACCCATGAGTCATGTCGTGGGCTACGCAAACAAGGCAGGTAGGGTGAGTCTGCTGCGTGCGTAAGCAGACTAGGTGCTGGTGGTGCCGAAGCACTTGGCTTTGTTTGTCTCGATATATGGGGAGCGTCTAGCCAAAGCCCGGTCGCTTGTTTTCTTGCTTCCCAAGCTAAGTCGGGATATACTTATCATTAATATATTTTTTATTTTTTTAAAACATTTCTTTTTTGTTTGCTAATACTAAGAATTAAATGGGCCATGAAGTGGGCTGAGTCCGAGGACGTTGGTTGTCAGGTTCGACATGGCCAGAGATGATCGTGTTGCATTGGCATTCGTAAAGAGAGTTGATGGAAACCATAAATGTGCTATTAAATGGAACAGATTTGTGGTGAGAAATCCAATTGGTGCAGGACGCAGTCCGTAATCGCTTCTAACAAGCTTTGCAATTGAACAGTCGTTGCAGGGAAGCTCTTGTGCACAACTTTCATGTGTCATTTGAGCCCCTTGTAACTCCTGAGCATGTAATATGATACCTTCTTCGTGCAGAACTATTCACCTACGCCGATGTCTAAGTATTCCCTCATAAGCCATGCAAGGAAGCAGGGTAAGCCTTGGGATTAATGCTGGGTTGGTGACCACCTCTTCTCGAATCCTTGATTACTATACTAACTTACCTATCGAATAAGATGCATGCTCTAATTTTACAGGAGACTACCGAATAACTTCACTTTCAGCTTGCGATAGAGATTTGAATTGGCTTCAAATTTGTTTACGTGTGAGATAATCATAATTGTTATAATACTTTTAGTAGAATAGTGACGGAAATTTGAATCCTGTGTGGATTGAAATCCGTTGGAGTTCACGTACAAATAATAGGCAACCTTGAGAATATCTGACTCCTTTTCCTGGCGGGTTACCGTTTCATCATGTAACGTGGTCACCATTTTCCACGAAGCAACAGTGGCTGTATCCCGTCGGACGAGGGCAATAATTGAGCTTTATCAAATGGTGGTCGGGATGAGTTTGATCAAAGAAATCCTTGCTGTCAGAGCCGTGCATCGACACGTGCGATCTCTTGTGCCCTTCCCCCATTAAAACGTCTCCTCCCCTCCCCCCCACCGCTTGTCACCGCTCGATCATGGTGCAGCTCCTGCTCGTAGCATCTCTAACGCTGCTAATCTTCCTCTTGCTTATAGCTCGGTTGCCAAGGAAGAGGGGGAGAAGCCCCAGGCTTCCGCCTGGCCCTCCTCCGCTCCCGCTCATCGGCAACCTTCACCAGCTCGGCCGCCTGCCTCACCTCTCCCTCCACCGCCTGGCGCTCAGGTACGGTCCCATTTTCTACCTCACTCTCGGCGAGATCCCCACCGTGATCGTCTCCTCCGCCCGCGTCGCCAAGGAGGCCCTGCGCACCCACGACCTCGCCCTCGCCAGCCGCCCCCCTCTGTACGCCGCCAAGAAGCTCTTCTACGGCTGCACCGACGTCGCCTTCGCCCCCTACGGCGCGTACTGGCGGCACGTCCGCAAGATATGCATCGTGGAGCTGCTCAGCGCCCGGCGGGTCGAGTCATACGCCCCCGCCAGGGCCGCGGAAGTCGCCTGCATGCTCGGCAGGATCGCCGCCGCCGGCGGAGTGGTGAATCTGAGTAAGTTGTTGGGCATGTACGCCAACGGGGTTCTCTGCCGCGCGGCGTTCGGGAGGGAGTTCGTGGAGGGCGGAGAGTACGAGAAGCGCGGGTTTCAGAGCATGCTGCACGAGTACCAGGTGCTGCTTGGGGGTTTCAGTGTCGGGGACTTCATGCCCTCTCTAGACTGGCTGAATGCGGTGACAGGGTTGAAGAAGATATTAGAGAGGACGTTTCGCCGTTTCGATGAATTCTTTGATCAGATAATAGAAGATCACATCACGGAGAGGAGGAGGAGGAGGAAGAAGAAGAAGGGAGGCGAGGAGGAGGAGGAGGAGGAGGTGATGGATCTGGTGGACGTGTTGCTTGATGTGAAGGAGAATGAGTCCTCGGAAATGCCTCTCACTATGGATAACGTGAAGGCTGTCATCTTGGTAAGCTCTTCAGTCTCATGCACCATATATATCTATGTCACCAAATGTTAATTAATTGGTCGTACAATGATGCTTTGCAAATTGTGCTTTCTTGATCGTTGACAAATCTTCAATCCTGTGCAGGACATGTTTGCAGCTGGCACTGATACCACCTTCATCACACTGGACTGGGGAATGACGGAGCTTCTTATGAATCCCACAGCGATGAAGAGGGCACAAGACGAGGTCCAAAGCATCGTCGGCGATCGCGAAACGGTTTCGGAGAGCGATCTCCCTCACATGCACTACCTGAAAGCCGTGATCAAAGAGACTTTCAGGTTGCACCCTCCTGCTCCGGTGCTGGTCCCAAGAGAGTCCATGAACTCGGTGACGATCGACGGCTACGACATCCCAGCGAGAACGAGGATCTTCGTCAACGCATGGGCAATCGGAAGAGACCCGGAGTCGTGGCGGAACCCTAACGCGTTCATGCCCGAAAGATTCCTCAATAGCTCCATCGACTTCAAAGGGCAGGATTTCGAGCTGATACCCTTCGGCGCCGGGCGACGAGGTTGTCCGGCCATCACGTTCGGCACCGCCAGTGTGGAGATCGCACTGGCTCAACTCCTCCATAGCTTCGATTGGGAGCTCCCCACTGGAGTTACGACGGAAGACATGGACATGACTGAAGTCTTCGGGATAACGATGCATCGTATCGAAGAACTGGTGGCTGTTGCAAAACCTCGTCTACTCTGAGTGATGTATGTTAGATAGTGATGGACATTGAGATATTTATGTTGGGGCGAGTTGGGGGTTGGAGGTGCGGGACGGGTATGTCGGTTGTGATATTAAAAACGTCGAAAAATATATGTAGGTAAAGGTTTAGAAAAGAAAACTAAAACAGATAAAAATTATCATAGCTTTTAAATCCTGCATAACAAATGATGATTAGCAGTTTATTATGACATAAGTATTTTTTTTCATTGTAGATATGATTGTATATATATAGATATCTACTGTATTACTAAGTAAAATTATTCTCTTCTCTAAATTCTAAAAATGTCCTTTTAAATTCTTAGAATAAAACAAACTAAGCAAAGTTACATTGGCATGTAGCAATTTGTTTTTGGTGGGGATATTTTGGTGATCTAATAAAAATATGATTAAAAAATACTATATATGTAGTTTACATACTTTCTGTAATATGGTTTTGTGAAATATGAATTCTTTCTAATATACATCTCTCTCTTACTCTGTAATATACTATTTCAATTAATTTTTAAAAATATCTTTCATTTGTGTAAATTCAATTTTTTTTCCCCTAAAAGTTCAAATCAGAATAAATTAAAAGCAATTGAATTTCTTGATATCTCGGTAAATCGGAATTGAATGTATATCAACCCCTCAATCTCAGGCAATCATACAAAAGAACTAAGGTCCCTTGATTCGAGTGATTTCAAATATATTGCGAACCAACAAACTATAATTAATTCAGGACTTGCAAAATTACTATAGTTGCTTGTATGTATATGCAGAGATGTAAATCATTTTGGGACATATAATTCATTCTATCTCATTTACTCACCCATATCAACTCCCAAAAGAAGGTCAAGGACTTGCAGTCCAATTTAGACAATCTCTCTTAGGATGTGATTGATGGTTACTTGAGATATTTCATTCGATGTGTTGTGTTCTCCCAAGGACGTTTAGGAGTGAGTGATGGGAATTTTCAGTTGATTTTGGACTCTCTCCCTTGAGAAAAAATGGTTGATGTCGACTAAGGATTCTTCATTCTATGTCTTCTTCTGGTTTGTCAGGATGAACGGGAATGGTTGATGAGACTCTAACTCCTTTGAGAAGAAACTATTGATGGCTACTATGGATTTATCATCTAATTTCTTGTGAGTGCATTTTAGACTTACTCCCATAGGAAGTGATGGTTGATGGCCACTAAAGATTTTTTTTTGTTGATCCAATGTCTTGGCATGGTGACATTTCATTCCCAGCATAAAAACACAAGATGTTAGCTTAATACGATAAGAAGTCATTGTACTTCTTCTATCTGCTTCTTAGTTTCTCATCACCAAAATCTTTATATTTTATTTGCTTACATCATGAATGTTAGAATAGTTAAAATCTTTTTTTACTTTGCTTTCAGGTAAATATGAAAAATAATAATAATAATAATTTTTTTAATTTTTTTATGATGCTTTAATGCTTGCTAGTATATGTAATGTTTGTCATAATGCATAATTAGCTCATCAACTTGATAGGCTTAAATCACTTATCAAAATATTTTAATTTAATATAATATAATATATCTATTTTAGTCTAATAAATTAAGTCAATTTCTGTCACATCTGATGTAAAATTAAACTGGGTTTTAAATTTTAATTGACTTCCTCGATTGTTCTCTTGATTCTTGACATGGCATTTTTAGTCTCTTCCCTTGCAACTTTGCAATTTTTAGTCTCTTGACACTTGGGTTTCTGGTGTTTTACTGGGCTTTGGATCTCCATATTGCGCTCATGATTGCATTCATGTCTTCAACATAATTGGCTGGGCTGCTAACAAATGGTTCTTCTGTTTGTTTTCATTCGGCAATCATGACAGCTAAATTGGAGACCCTTGAGAACTTTTAACTCAGAATTGAAGGCCTATCTCAATCTCATAATTCTAAGCTTCACACCAGATTGCAATGAGAGGATTAAAAGCAGAAAAAGCAGCAGCAGCAGAAGAAGATGATGAAACCACAACTCCATGTTTCTGGTAAAGGCAAAGAAAGAAGAATGGAAGGGATAAGTAAGCCAATTACTCCACGGAAGGTGCATTAATTACAGAGTTGGTGTTTGCTTACAGAGTTGCAATGCCTTCCGATGTTGACTTCAGATACCAACTTCTTGTGGCATTTCTTTCATTTAGGGTTGCTCCTACTGTTAACCTTTCAATATTCCAACCGATCACTTCACTTCCACGCAACACACTGCTCGCATCATATATAAAATTGTGAAGGTAGACCGACATGGTTTTGTAGTTGAATCCCACGGCTTCAATCTTTAAACAGATCAGTGACATTATGCCTAAACTTGCTCTACGTACGATGACATGCACAGTGCATACATAAATCCGTGTCAAGTGTTGACTCTAAGGATGAGTTTATGACGAAGATGTTTATCTTGGTTGACATCATTTGGAGGGACTCCTTGTTAATTTTTGAGATCATTATAATCTTTTTTGTGTTGCAAATGGGTAATTAGAGGGAGAGAAGACCACGTTGAACTGGAATACTATAGGCTGTTCTCCTAATGAGATCACATGAGCAGATATTATACCAAAGAACAGTCACATCAATATGTTACAAGGCTGATGCACATACAAGATGGACTTATCTCCATTTCCCTGAAGGGAAAGTGTTGGATTGGCGGCAAGGCAAGAAAAAATCCAATGCTTGAAGTGCAGTTCAACACTTCCAAATCTTACAACTGCAGGGAAGGAATAGTTCACCAAGATGATGAGCATGACATGAAGCTACGATCCCATACGCATCTTCCACAAGTGGACAGCTTAAATGACTTGGAAGCCTCAAGTTTCTCGACCTCCGCACTTGTTTTACTTGTTTAAAGCAGCTGCAGCAGTCCACACGCTATATAATCTCACCACCACAGCAACAAGCTCGAACAGCAAACCGCAAGCATGAGGCTCGGCTTCCTCCTTCCTTGCATCACCGTGCTGCTTGTTACTGGTAGCGTGTGCAAGCTGGCACATAATTCATCAGCGTTGCCCCTCTCGTCGAGCTCCCGGTGGATCGTCGATGAGTCCGGCCTGCGAGTTAAGCTAGCTTGCGTCAACTGGGTGTCCCACCTGGAGCCCGTGGTGGTGGAGGGCATGGGGAAGCAGCCACTGGACACCATATCCAAGAAGATCGCCGCCATGGGCTTCAACTGCGTTAGGCTCACTTGGCCTCTCTTCTTGGTCACCAACGACTCCCTGGCCGGCCTCACCGTCCGGCAGTCTTTCCAGGCTCTCGGCCTAATGGAGTCCATCGCCGCCATCCAAGTCAACAACCCAGATCTTCTCAACCTCACGCTCATCCAGGCATTCAAGGTTAGGCCATCCAATCACAAAAAACGTATCTGCTGTCGACTTTTTCGTCTCTAAGCGATCCAAGTCGACTTCATATTCATTAATTTACGAGAGCAGTGATCTTATCCAGTCACGACGATGACAATAATGGATAAGCTCCAGGGAGAAGTTCACGACAAGTTGAAGCCACGTGCAGTACATCGATTATTGCATCTGCCCTTATCATAAACCCATTAATTAGTGCCAATCTGACTTGGAATCCTGACGAGCAGGCCGTGGTGTCCAATCTTGCTGATAACAACGTCATGGTGATCTTAGATAACCACATCAGCAAACCCGGATGGTGCTGCAGTAACTTCGACGGCAATGGCTTCTTCGGCGACAAGTACTTCGACGCCGAAGAGTGGATCAAGGGGCTCACAAAGATGGCCACAATGTTCAACGGCTCGCCCAACGTAGTCGGCATGAGCCTGAGGAACGAGCTCAGAGGTCCGAAGCAAGGCGTTACTGAATGGTACAGGTATACAAATGTACCGAAAGGTCATAATGTATCGAGATGTACTACGACGGCTACAATGCTACATGTTCCCCGTTGTGCTGTGCTTTTAGGTACATGCAAAGGGGTGCGGAAGCAGTGCACTCGGCGAACCCCAACGTTCTTGTCATACTGTCGGGCCTCAGCTTCGACAACGACCTGGGCTACCTCTCCAAGAAGCCCGTCGAGCTAACGTTCCAAGGGAAGCTCGTCTTCGAGCTGCACTGGTACGCCTTCTCCGACGGCCAGGCTTGGGCGAATGGAAACCCTAACCAAGTGTGTGGGCGAGTAGCGGGGAACGTGATGAGGAGGGCAGGGTTCTTGCTGGACCAGGGGTGGCCACTGTTCTTGAGCGAGTTTGGACTGGACCAGAGAGGCACAAATGTCAACGACAACAGGTACCTGGGATGCATGATGGGGGTTGCAGCTGAACTGGATTTGGACTGGGCATTGTGGACCTTGCAGGGGAGCTACTACATCAGGCAGGGTGTTCTTGCCATGGATGAGACCTATGGGTTGCTGACCTGGGACTGGTCCAAGCCCAGGAACTCCGGCTTGTTGCAGAGGATTCAAGCCATCCAATCTCCC